CTGTAGAACATGTAAAAATTTCAAGACAATAAAACCATCGCAGGCTTGTATTATTAAAACCATGCGTAAAGTATGCCTTTTCAAAATATGTTATACACGTAAAAGTTTCTAAATAGAAGTACAGATAAAAAAAATCAATTAAAAATAGCTGAAAAACAATTTATTAACTAAGTAATGAACTCGTTTCCAGTGAAAGTAGGTTGCTCAGTTACCTGTCTAATCGCCTCCCAGTGGCACAGCGCTATGTCTGTGGACTTACAACGCTAGAAACCGGGTTTCGATACTCGTGGTGGGCAGAGCACAGATAGCCCATTGAGTAGCTTTGTGCTTAACTCCAAACAAACAAAAAACAAACGTGTCTAATCAAGTGTGATTTCTCGTCTTCTTAGTCTAACTGTTCTGCTATTTTGTAGCTTTACATACGTTGATAGTTTGCAACTTTACATACGTCGATAGATTTTAAGGAAATTTCATCATTTTTCTTACCACGAAATCGCATATATATAAATTCATGAACCTGTTCGGTTCACGGCACTATATAAACTTTTGGACACACAAAGTACTTTAAATATCAGAATGATGCTTAGAATTAAACACATTTTCAATCAACTGAAATAATATTTCCTTATAAAAAGAGCACTATAAGTGGACGTCTAAGACTATAAACATATATATAACTTTGTTTATTAAATTTTGAATTGCTAAGTATTAAATATGATTCACGTATATTGTTGCCCAAATATGATACTGAGCCAAGGTTAAAATAAAACGCTTACCACGTTAGCTTTCTAAACTATGTGAAACCTAATCCCATTTTTGGGAGAAAGTAATAATTTTTTATTACAAAAATTGTGTGACTATCAGATATCTCGCACCGAAAACTAACCTATACTGTACATTAGCATGCTAAGTTTTGTAAGCATTAAATGTTACATAATACAATGGTTTCAATTTTTACAGCCTGTCTGCCGTTTCCAAAACTAAACCAAAGCATTCTATATGAAACTATGCAAAACGTTTTCTTTGCAAAAATTACTCAGAACAATGAGCGGAATTGGCAAACTATTTATTGCCCAAATTTTAAAGTTATTCTTATTTCTACGGTTGTTATGTGTGCCATTCCTAACATTCTCATCATCTACCGCGTAAAAAATATTATTGTAATGTATAATTACAACAAATAAATTAGATGGACAATAGGAACGTTTTTTCTTCTGATTTCTCTAAATTGATACAATATATGATTAACGCAATCTTGAATGTGTTCTGAGGACATCATAAGTATGCTGTTACACGTAATGCCACTCCCTAAATTCTTTACTGTCAAGATGTCTGATTGTTCAGATTAAACAGGATAATGTGATATTTTAAAGAGATAGGACAATATACTTAGAATATTATTTTTGATATTTTAAACTGAGAACACTATTACTTAGTTACTGTATTGTTAATATCCTTTTTCACGCGTCATCGTTTTCGACTATGAGAATTATCCTTACGTCTGGCTAAAAATAAATATCAACAACACAGAAATTAACACAGCAGCTAACTTTATTGATAATTATCAATATACACGTTTATCTGAAGAACTGGTAGTATTGTAAAATTATACACTTGCTGAGAAAAATACATGAACAAAATATTAAATAAATATATTTCATTTAGCAATTTAACATGGAATAATACTGTAGTCCTTCAAACATCTGTAAAAACTAAAAACTTCATAGCAGTTTCTGACAAACATTCAAGCTGAGTACATGTGAAATGCTTTTTACGCAAAAAAATCATTTTGATATACAACATTAATTACTAATACATTATAAAACTTTTCAGGTTTTAATAATACTTTACAGACACATAATGTTACTACATATAATTAGTAAAACCGTGTATGACTAGTAAATACTACAAGCACTACTATCTCTCTCTCTATATATATACATACACATATTATCCAAATAAAGTTAAATTAAGAACATTTTCTAGATAACCTGTTTTTCATAAATCGGAGTATGTTGGTCCTGTGGTAGAGTCCTGGATTTCGGAGCTGGCGAGCCGGGTTTGAATCTGAACGATACTACAAAATATTTCCTGCAATTTAAACTGTGTGTGTATTATAAGATTGGCAGTCAATCCTTTAGTGTGTATGGTGGTTGGTTGGGTGCTGCTGACTAGTTATTCTCCCTCTAGTCAGTAGTTCAAAATTAGAGACAGCGACAGCTTTACCATAAATACAAATGTTCAAAAATAACCGTGTAAAATTAGTTTATCAAATGCATTACATTAAGCTGAAACCTCGTCTTCCTTTTCTTGACTAAGTTGATAGCGAAACGCGCCAACAGGAGAGTGAAACAGTTTCCGTATGCAGCGAAGAGTCAAACGGAAATATTCCGAAAATCTTAAACCTTTACATACACGAGAGTCATTATAGCTTACGTTGGTTGGCCTTACATTTGGAATTCTAAAAAAACGTTTCACTTTTACTACATAAAATCTACCAGAACGGAATTTGTTAGTAGCTTTTACAAGTTCTTTTGGACTTGGTTGAAATAAATGTGTCATTTATAGGATCTGAATACTAAAGCATTCCCTTAGTGGGAACAAAATATCTGTTATTTGAATATGGTAGAAGGTTTTCAAAGACGACGTAGGAATAAACACTTTAAAATGAACTGTATAAATATTATAACACGAGGCCATTTCCGACAATATAAAAGATGTATTTTGCTATGGCATATTTAATACGTATTACACTAATTCAGAATGAGGAAACATCAGTTTGTATGACTTTCCTCAACAAGTAGGTTAACTTTGCATTAAAAATACTGGTAACATACGTTATTTGGTAATTTGAATATATACCTTAGAATACCGCAAAAAAACCACACTTTTTTTTTCGTATCATCCCAGTGCAAGCCAATAATCAGCATAAAGATATTTACGGTTTTATTTTCTGCAAGTATAATAACAACTAATAAATACGTCTAAATAAATAAGCAGTAATTATAATTCAAAACAAAACTTTCAGCAAGAGGGCAATTCTAATTCTATGTCTGAGTAAACCGTGCATTATGGGTAGAAAATTGAGCGCATTTTGAACGAATACTTTCTTAAAATAAAGAACGGCAAAAATGTAAGACAGTAAACTTAATATAACTTTTTCATTGTTGCTTACGCGGTCAAAATATAAAGGTCAAGTTTGATGGTGTTATTCTTGAACTACATGTATTTTGTGTTGTAATTTCCCCGAAAGGGGACCTAAGGCCGCCTGGATAGGTCACCTGTTTTAACCACTCTCACCATTTAGGGACGCTTAATGTTGCAACGTGTACTGTTGTGCCGTCAGTGGAACGTGCGCATGCCATGAATCACGGGAAGAACTATGCACTTTGTAAGATACAACACAGAATGATATGAACTCAAAAGCAAGAAATAAAAATATTTGTTACTCTTAATTTTGGATTTATTTACTCTTGAAACAGACCACTTTCGGGGACCCAGCGCAAGTACATCCAGTTACTACACCTTAAGTACACAAGAATAACCCATGACAATAATTTAGTATTGTTCATTTAGGGACATGTTTAGTTAGTTAAGTATTAACAACACGAGTATTAAAGGATTGATTGAATTTTCAATGTGTTTATCCTGGATTTCACATTAGAATAAATGTCAACTTTTTCTAAGCAGGTGATAAAATATATTGATTTTAGTTTCGATGACGAGGAACCCACTTTGAGACTAATAATGATTGGAGACGGCTTGAATGAGTAATGAAGAAAAACTTTAATATAAGTTCAACATAACCGCAAATGTACAACGTTTCGACAAGGTTTTGGGT